GTTATAATAAAATATTTGACCATATACATTCAGTCTGGAAACTACTGAAGGCTTTGAGGTTTATATTAAATAAATCAGTGCCCTTCTTGATGAATTCTAAAGGCTTGAAGTTTTAAAACAATTGTTTAAACTGCTAGGCTCAGAAATAATACATTGATAATGTGGCAGATTTAGTGTAATTGATTTCAGTGTGGCAACCGTGATTTTTAAAGTACTTCTACATTGTGCAGAAGAAAAACTGAGGAAGAGTACTAAAACTAACATTATTCTTAATATTAATTTAGAGAATGTGGTTGGATTTCTCCAAAGAATATATATATAATATATTATAATATATAATATTATATATATACTGGACAATTTTTAAGGCCCACATTTTGTAATTCAAGAGAATCAAACTTATTTATACTTGAAAACTACAGGTTCTCGGTTATATCTGTTTTCTGAATTTCTGATGTAATAACAAATTATTTGCTCCCCTCCTCCACAAATAGCTGTTAATACTCAGCTATTTAAGCTAGCTTTATTGATATTTTCCAGTATCAATAAGTTATAGCAGAGACAGAGTCATACTCCTCCTACTGATATATAAAGTGGCGGTCTGATTTTATCCCCATGTTTCAGCTACCTGGGCTTAGCACTTAGGGCTCGACCATACATGTCTGCTTTTACGAGTTATGCTGTGAGGGTGTATAAAATTCTGACAATTTAATATAATTTTTCCCTAATCAGATTTAAAATTATGTGAAAAACCATTAATGGACCACTACTTCCAATGAAAGTACTTTAGTGTTCCTAAATCTATTTTTTTAAAGATGAAAATAAGAACGGAAAGAATGAAAGAAACCAAAAATAAAACATACTTCGAAAAGAAATGGTACATAATCTCAGAGAACATTCCTTCAGGACAGTCTAGTAGCATTTGAGTCTTGTTTACTAAATGTTTCAAAGAATTAACATATATCCTTAAGTGCTTACCAACCTTCCAATAACAGCTGAGTCACCAGTTGACCTGCAGTGTTTTTTCACCTTAAGATTTCAGATAGCACTTAGGAATTAAGTTCTAATACCTCATAATATAATTATAAGTAACCATTATCTAGTTGAACAAACCTTTATTTTTTTGTTTTCCAAACACAAATGAATCAATGAAAGAGAGAACTAGACTTCAAGAATCTAGGCTTCTGGTTATTTTTTCCAAACTGTAAGTTACAAAGAATCCACTGAACATATGATCAATGTAAATAGGCATGACCCACTTACAAGCACTTTGACATAGTTGGCAGGAAATATGCCAGTCTGCTTTCTGCATTTTCCTCGGTACCAATCAGTATCTATTTTTTCCAGAAGATAAACAATTTCTCCTGAAGTGAGGTTCAAATCATCGACTTGCTCTGTAACATTAAATTAGAGTTATGTATGATTAAAATTATTCTGGTTGCAGATTTGATTAAAGCAAGCATAAAGTAGCATTTAGTTCTGTCCGCCGAGGTAGTATGTTCTACTGATTCTGAGAACACATATCTTTTTTTTTTTTGATATTGCTGTTATGAGTTTCCCCTTTTAATATCAAATTAGATACATCTGCAATGCACTGATTCATGTGAAATGGTTAAAAATAAACAAACAAACAAACAAGCAAACAAACAAACATTGTGCTGGTCAATGCTATCTACTGTGCCAAAATAAACCTTTTGCTGAATACGTATTGAACAAAGAGTTTTACAGATGTGGTATAATATTCTCATTATTCTCGATCATGCTTAAAAATCATTTCAAACTCAAAATATCAACTAAGGGAATACTACAGCTCTTTAGGAAATAAATTTACTCACTAAAATAAAAATCAATTTACCAAGTATATAAAAATGAGGTTATATAAATAAATCGGAAGTTTATTTGTAGTAGCCTTGGATATAAAAGGTATTTAAAAATTAATTATAAAAAATTTACCTTTTCATTTCATAATAGCTGAGCTATAGGTATAGGTTTTACAATTCTTAGGAAAAAAAATCTTCATTTATTAAATTAGAATTAATTACACTACAGTTAATTGGTACTCACTGTTTTGAAAGAGTTAAAAATTTGCAACTAGTAGGTAATTTGCTATTTGTTCATTTGTAAGAGAAAACCCTCACCCCGCTCTCTCATGAGTTTCAAAAGCAAGGGTATGCAGCTAAGCTTTCTGGAATGACTGGGTACAATCCACCATTCCTTGAAGGCTGGGTAATTGACCATTTCTCCAGTCCAGGACTCTGTTGCACAGAGAATGAAGGCTGTCCTTGAGAGATTAACCTATGGAGCATGCCTGCTCCCGGATCCTACAGGCTCTACTACTTTATTATTTGTGTCCTTACCTGCTAGAAAATCATGAAGAACGACAGCATGAGGCACACTACTGTCAACAGCCTTCAGAGCGTGGCTTGGATCCTTAGGGAGAAAACAGGGCTGTGAATAAAGTGTGCAGGATGGATGCTAGATTTACATTCACTCTGAGACCAATTTTTTTTTCTCATTAGAGTCCTCTTGACATTATGAGTACAAGATGCAAACGACACAGTTGAGCTGAATAAGAGAATCATTATCAAGTTGAAAAGGCATGTGTCCTTGCCAAGGGAGGACAGAAATAACTCTCAATTATAATATCTTCCAGCATTTTTTTTAACCAAGAGAGTAAAACAAAAGGAAATCACTTAACCTTTTTTTTTTTTTTTTTTAACCGTACCTATTTTACCCTGAAGTAGTAGTTTTTTACCTCTTTCACCTTTCAAGGGTAGCTTTTTCCTAAAATTGTGATCAGGACTAATCTTAGGAAGACAGTCTTAAAAGTTGTGTCTTTATTAAGATGGGAAAAGGAGAAAGTTCTATAATTTATGTTCTTACCTTTCATAATGAAAAGAGCTAATGACTTCCACAAAAGTATAATTCACAAAATGTAAAATTTATTTCATTTACTACCACTTAACTGAGTGTTTTCGCTAATTTAAAAGCCAACTTTCTCTATCTCCTATGCCTGGCCTGGATTTTATATTTAATCTGAATGGTATTCAGATTCAACAGCATTCTAAGTAAATTAGCAAAGAGAATTCAATATCCTCTACCCATCTAGCCAACTGCCATAGATTGGTTAGAGGAGAGAGGGTAAAGCTGAAGAGTAACCCTTTCTTATTAACAAGCAGATGGTATTCTTAGTTTCTTTATATAAACAGACAGGCTAATCTACATCATCATTATCATAAAATCTGACTGAAAGATAGTATTTGGAGTTACAATTTTAAACTCTTCAACACTGGCAAACCTATGAAATAAACAAAGGCAGATTTTTGTGCTCCTTCTGGTCTCTTCACCTCCTTCAGTGATTCTCGCCCCCTTAGGGATATCCTCACACTTCTATTTGTCCGCCCGCCGCCCCCCTCCCCACCAGCCATGATGTGTCGTGTTGATCAGAATGCCCTGTGGGTAATGATCGACCATCTCCACTTCCACCCTGCAACACTTCTGCTCAGATCTTTTCTGAATCTCACCTGTTCTTTCAGCCAAAATGCACCTGTGGAGGCATGCTGCATTCTCTCAAGCTAGGTAAACTGAAATACCAATTTAGGTCAAGATAGTAACGGCTAATGGCAGTTTACTATATTAGTTTACCAAGGTAACACTGACATTTTCTTAGGGGCTGCTCAGTGCTTTTCCCTAAATAAAGGAGCATCGTAGGAATTTCAGGGATTATGGAAAGGAACTGAAATATTTTAAGTCTGAGGGAGCTTTAAAAAATTATTATTTATATAATTTGTTATATGTACATATGTATGGTTTTCATTTCTTTCTGACTTAAATCTGTGGAAAAAGGAATGACTATTCAATAAATGGTGTTAGGCTAGATGGTTATCCATTTGGGGAAAAAAATGAAGTCAGAGGCCTACCTCACACCAAACACAAACATGAATCTGAAAATGGACTGACAATCTAAACATAACCAAGCCTGGGAGGGTATAAGAGGTGGGATGATAACTTATGCTTCCCAATTAGCTTCTCTGCCTTCAGTGCATGGGTAACCCTGGCAATGCTGCTCATCAGTCTGGCCTGGCAGGTGAAGAGCAAGAAGAAAAGGCTAAACAGGCTTGGCCACAAGGGGTCAGTACAACTCAGACCACATCATTAGGATGGATCTCTGGTAAGTAAATCTAATACATTTCAAAGCTCTTCCTAGTATGACTCAAATTACTAATACAAATGAGTAATAAGAATAGCTAATATTAGTCACTCACTAGATGCTACTCACTGTGTTAAATACCTTACATGTACTGACTAGCTCATTTAATTTTTAAGTATCTTTGAGATATAATTCACATAACACAAAATTCACCCATTTAAAGTACATGTAGTTTTATTATACTCACAGAATTGTGCAACCATCACGTCCATCTAAGTTTAGAACTTGTTTTATCACTCCCTCTCCAAGAAACCCCCTATCCATTAGCAGTCATCCCCCATTTATCACCCCCTCCCTCACCCTCAAGTGAAGGCAACCACTTTCTACTTTCTGAATTTACCTATTCTGGACATTTATATAAATGGAATCATGCAATAGATCAATTCTAAAAACAACTCTGTGAGAAATTACTATACCTATTTCACATTAAAAAGATAAAGTTTAGAGAGGTTAAGTAACTACCTAAGGTGGTACGGAAGGGGAAGTGAAATCCAGCTCCCTGAAACCCAAATCTGTACTTGCAACCAGGTGATACCTTGCCACTCTTCGTATGATATGCAGATTCAACCTCAATTGATAATGTTCAATATTTTCTATTTACTAAGGTAAAGAAAAGTATAACATATTTTCAGAAATCTTTACTTAAAACTAGACTTTCGATTAGGTAATTTTTATTTTTCTAAAATATGTAATGCTAGCCTAAAGGAAGCTTCATTTTAGGATCATCAGTAGTTGGCCATCAGAGGCCAACTCTGCAAGTCTATGGTTCAAGATGAGTAAAGTCATGTTTAAAGTGGGGGAAAAAAAAACTTTGGCATTAGAAAAGAATAATTTCTAAGTTTTTAAGCTTCATTTTTCATACAGAAAAGCAGTCCAACTCCCATGGTTACCCGTCAGTGTGTTCTGAGAAAGGAAGGACAGCAGTGACAGATGAATAATGCTGTATTAAAACAAGAGAAAATGCGGCTAAAAGAGCTTTCCCCATTTGAACTAAACTAAGAATTTTCTGTATCCCAGCTGCAACTAGCTTAACACGTATCTTCTCTGCTCTCCAATATATAAATTTTCATTTTCTCAGCAAACTTCAAAAGATAAGCCGCTTTCTAAGAAGAAAGAATTTAACTAGATTATGAAAACTAGGATGAATGGTGAACCAAATACTTTACTTGGATTAAATGACTGGTGGGTATTATTTTGAATGTTTGCTGTATTAACCAACAGATAGTAAAAATTTAACTGAGTAATTTAAGAAGTTCTTTTAAAAATATACTTCTGTACATTGTTCAAGGGCATTTTTCTGGCTAAACAAATGACCTTCACTGTATTCTCTCAGGCTCCACAAATTTGTTAGGCCTAAATTGTCAATTCAGGTTGTTGGATTACATTTCATTTCATTATTTTATGAGCTATAATCAGAGAAATGAAGTTTACACTAAGCTTAAATCTTAGAGGGAAGTGCTTTTTATGTTAGAGTCAACATTTATAGGTCCTCCTTTAAAATAATTATCCATTCTTCTAGGAAACTAATCTCTGGCACTTTAGTAAACACCTTTACATCATTTAAAAAATAAATGGTTCTCACAGTTGAAAATTAATGACTGAGTGCTCTAGTTGCTGTAAGTCAGCATGATATGAAGAAGGCAAAATACAAGGTAGTCACTGTGTAACAAGGTGATTAGTGGCAAGTCTCTTAGAAGTAATTTATTCTTAAAAGGAAATAAAATGCAACGTAATTTTCACTCTAGTTAAAATAAGCATGCTAATAAAAGCCTTGAGGATGAAATATAATTAATAGTTCTATGAAATTTGCTGTCATGGGAGATATGAGGGCTGTACAGCATTAACTCCTTACATTTGGTATGCTTCTAAGATGTTCATCTAGTGGCGTGATGATCTTCACCTGAGACAGGTGAACTCTGCCCGTGTCTTCAACTTTTTGGCATTTCAAGAAATTATTTTCCGCCTCCTTCAGCATCATAAGTACATCTCCATGCTGTAAGGTACAATACAACTCTCTGAAGCAATTATTATTTAATAACACATTATTGCTTTTTCCACATTTTAATCTTTGGAGCCTAAAGCATTTAATAATGTGTAAAGCAGTAACAGAGGCCAGTGTTTTGTTTTGTTTTGTTTTACATTTATCAGTAAAGGAAAAGCTTTACTTTACCTTATGAGAGAATTCTTTGGGGTTTTGCGAGACAATGTCTTCATTGGAAATTCCATGAGATACAGACAGCTTAAATATAAACCAATAAAAGGATTATTCACAATCAAATAACCTCCTCATAAAGTGCTGGTTATTTGGGGATCTGTCATGTGTGCCTAAAGTGTAACTTCTCCAGCAAACTCTCTACCTGGCTTCCTCATGCTCTAGATCTAGTGGAGCCTGCCATTTCTCATGGATACTAACAGTCCCTGGGGATGTGCAGTTGAGACCACAGGACCACAGTGGCTGAATGTGGCCTAAAGTTCTCTTTGACACTCGGAACCAGGAAGTTCCATAGGACAAGGTCCACCAAGTACCTTGGTGTCTCAAGGCCCACTTTTAATTCAGGGCTCTCAATGGCTGGCACATCCTCTGTGACTGCTTCCATTTGCCTTGAATCTCATTCTTCAGGGTCTCTCTGATATCAAGCATCTACTTAAACCCATTTCACCGCCTAACTCCAGTCACTTCCTGGTCCACTTAGCTCTGTCTGGTCTTAGAATGATTTTTACATCTGTACCCTACCCTGGTCAGGGGACTCTGTTCCCTGCCTTGGTAAATTCTGGATGATGAGTACAGGTCAGAGGGGTCTTTACAATATAGACATACCCAGGAAATGTGATCATACGAGCTTACTTCCAACAAGGAAAAGGGGGCTACTTTGGCCCTTCCATCACTGAGGAGCAAAGATGCAGAGTGAGGGCAAGGGTGTGGCCTTGTAAGGCTGCTTCCCAGCATCTCTGTCGAACCCAGGGCTTCTAAAGTACCCGGATTCTAGGTTAGCAGTTTAATGGTAGGGTGGCCATGGAAAAAAATGAGGGATTTAAGAAATTATTTCAAAATGAAACATACTATTCTAATTAATATGCCATTATCTGAGTCTATTAATGAATTCTTCAAATGCTTTATTGACATTACACAGCTATGCTAAGAACCACAAACAAAAATTGGATGCCCCTAAAGGAGGCTCTTAACATGGAATGGCCAAAACAAGTACAGACTTTACAAGTAACACTATTTTCATAGTATGGCATAATGGTTAAGAGCATGGGCTCAGAGTCTGTTGATCTGTGTTCAAATCTTGGTTCCAAGTTACCTAATTACAAGTTACTTAATTTCTCTGTGTCTTATTTTCCTCCTCTGTATAACACAGATAATAACAGCACCTACTTCACAGGGTTGGTGTGAGGAATAAATGAGTTATTTAATATACATAAAGTGCTTCAAACAATGCCTGGCCTATAATAAGTACTCAACAAATCAACTACTATTTTTATTTATTTATTAGTTTTAAAGTAACCTATCCCAAAGAACAGCAATTAAAATTTTCATCAGTATAAATACTACCTCTTTCTTGTCTATCTATATACTCTTCTCTTAGGAGAACTTTTAAAAATCTTCGATGGCTTAAAGTGAAAACAATTTCTGGAAATGTAGTACAATATAAAATTATTAACCACTGTTCTTTTTAAGAGCTACTGTCATATAATTGTTTAAAAAGTACAAACAGTCCTGCTCTCCTGATCATTTTTATTTGTTCCAGATTTTATCAGGTTAACCCAACTGAAGTAGAGAGAGAGCACATCAACTCTGTTTTTTAGTGTGGGAAAAGGACACAAAGGTTTAAGGCCATATGATAAGAAAAACATTCAAAGAGAACAAAATTAGTATCTAAACTATCTCAATTATTGATGAAAACATCTAACTGGTAACTATTAAACGGATCATGATAATTAAGTTTACAAAAAGGGAAAATGGGGGAGGGGGGAGACTGTCCATCTTGATAAGATCTTTCTTTCTACTTCATTGAGAATTTTACTCTGTGGGCAAGAGATGGAAACTACAAAATCTCTCTGAGTTACTCCCCTCAGTCTAATCTACAGGGTCAGGTTTTCAGAGTTTCTGTTTGGTTAATCCCTGTTTGCATTGCTTCCTTTTCCTGTATTCTCCTAATAAAGAAACCCTGTTTCAAAGACCTAGGTTTTATTCGACTTACTTATCTAAAGCACTCTTGAGGGTTGAGGGATAAGTTCACAGTTGTCTTTTTCTAAGGAATAATGATATGATCTTATATATATCTTAGGATAGACCTCTTGACCATGAATATTTTTGAAAGCTAAATTTACCATGTATTTCCTGTAGAGAGGATGTCCTGGTTTAGGGCGAGGGGGTAGCACCGGATCTTGACTTCTAAAAACTTGACTCTTGGTTTTTGAGAGTCCAGATGCCAAGTTATTTTGCTTCTTCTGAAGATCTATGTCAGAAGAAGACCGATTAAAAGGCAGTTTTTTATTTGATGTTCTGGTTGCAGAAAGTCTCGGGGGAGGTGGTCTCTCGGGGGCCCCCTTGGGAGGAGGCTGTCGAGCTGGTGTGACTTTTCCATTTACAGGTCTGAAAGTCAATGTGGGAGCTAAGAGTCAGTGTTTGATCAATATTAGGTTCTGTTTTGTCTTTCTCTTTCTCTCTCTCTCACACACACACACACAGCTTTCTCCTAGTATAATACAATTTACTGAAACATGCAGAGTATGCTATTTTTGAGCAAATGGCTGCTGCATTGAACATTATATTATTAGAGAAAATGCCATGATGTTCCAGCTTCCTCTTATCTTACACTAGAGATTCATTAGTTCAAGACAAACAAGCATTTACTATCATGAGCTCTCCAAGGCCCCATTTGCTCTTAAACACACCATGACTGTTTCAGGAAACCAAGCATTTTCTACCAAAGTCTGAGATAAAAAAAATGAAAAGCTTTTAACAAGATATCAGGTATATGTGATGTGGTTTAGTACATGATTAGAAAAGGAACACCAAACTCCCCTAACATTCATGTTATAGGAATTATTATTCCCAATCTAATTTAGATTACTATAAAGATAGCTGTCTTAAAAATGGGATAGAACAACCATTACTTTTAAAGACTTTCCTTAATCGCTATGATAAAAATAATTTCCAACATAGTAACATCTTCTGGCAGCATCACAGTTTTTTGTTCAAATAACCCTGGAACTTAGGAGGGCAGGTCACCTCCGAGCTCACAAAGCCTGTCTCCCTTTGGAAATGCCCAAACCAGGCTGGTTTCTCATAATGGGGTGGGGGTGGGAGTAGTGAGATGAGAGGCAGAGAATGTTCATTCCAGAAGCAGAGTTGTTTTAAGGTTTAGAAAGAAGTCTTGTTCATTTTAGGAAAAGTAATAGAGATCCATATTTGTGCTCTGTGAGTTTCTGGATTCTTAAAGGAAAGAAGAAGCAGAGATTCCTACCACCTGCTGTTAGAAGCAGCCTGTAGGCTGGTGGTCTGTGTGACTTCATGAGTTTAATGTACCTTCTAAAAGAAGATCTAAGGCCAGCAGCACTCAGTTTTGATAACAGAAAAGAGAGCACAATCTGAGTTGTTAGTTGTTCTAACTTACTTTTTAAAAGTTTTCTCACACTTACCTTGGTGGTAGCCTTGGGGGTCCTCGCACAGAACCTCCTGTTTGACCGGCATGGCTGGATTCCTGAAAGTATCAGAGAATGTTTTCAGTTAAGGTTAATCTGAAACAAGAGCTTGGCAAGACGAATTCTGGACAACTTTTTGGCTGGATCTGTAAATGGAAATGTAGCTAAGTTAGAGAAAGTAAAATAAGTTAGAGAGAAAGTAGAGAAATCTAGAGAAAAGAGTTTTTAGTCTTAAGCAGTATTAACTCATTACTCATTGTTACCTAAATTGTTCATGTTCTAATACAAGTGAAGACAGAGAGGAGGAGGCCAAGTGGGGTCTGCTATCATGGACCATGGCCCAACCAATTACTCTGCATGGTTACACACCCAGCAGACCTATGAGGTATTACCATGATATTTAAATCATGGTAAGTTACACAGTAGCAATTTAAGCAAGCACTGTAGGGAATTAAAATATATATATGTTTTATCTCATGATGATACATAAGATATGCACTGCTCCTAAGTTTCAATACATAAGTGGTGAGTAGTTTGTTTTGCCTGGAACAGGCAGATGTCTCTCACTGGATGTTTTATACATTGTGGGGTGGTCTTGAACTAGAAGAAGGTAGGAACAAAAAAGAAGCTTAAGGGATGGCCTGAAAGGAAGGCACATGAGGAGGAACAGAAAAGGCCCAAGAAGGCAGAGACTTGTACCACTACAGCAAAGGGGCTGGATGTGCTGAGAAGAGCTTTGCAGGAAAGAGTATAGGGGGATAATGTGAAAAACAAAAGATAGGTAAAGTCGGGATGTTTTAGCTTAACAGATGAGAGAAACTGGAAGTGAGGAGATGAACAGGAAGATTTCTCTAGGGGATGGGATTCGAATTGTACTGTTTAAGTAGCTTTTTCTGGACATGTTGTAGCCCAAAGATTGGGAAATGGGTACAATACATGGAAAATATTTTCAGATCTTCTGTTGAATGAGAATTTAAAAGATCTCAAAGCGATACTTCAATTTTTGTTGGGAAAAGTCCTCGCCAAAATTTTTCTAATTCTCATTGAATCTCCCTCTTTTTTTTTTTTTTTTTTGACCTTTTCTACTTTCTAAGCCCCTGACACTGATATCCAGAAAATAATATCTCTCCGAGACCTCATAAGAGAGGAAAATGCCAGCCCTTTAAAATTACACTGCCTTTTTTTTTGTAAAAGAGTTCTAACTATATAGCTTGGAAATCTCTGGGCTAATTCAGACTGTTTCCTTCTTCTTATCTTATAAATGAGTTAAAATTCACTTCCACGGTTTTTAATTCAAACTGAATATTTATAACTTTTCCTTAAGTACCACATGATTAATTGCCAATAACTGTGATCACTGAAATATGTTTCAATGTTTTAAAATCTCATTTTTTTAAAAACAAATTAAGCTTGCTTGCCCTTAAAACTTGGTTTCACTAATGAGTTCAGTTAATGTAGTGAGGCAAATCACCAGCTCAGAAACCCTGTGATATCCCAGACTATAATCCATGCCTTTTAAATACACTGCTGCTCATATTTCCCCTGACAAACACTTCTATGATACTTGAAAAACTCATTTATTTCTTTGGACACATTTAAAATTAAACAGAAAAACACTCTAGCAGGTAGGCAGGAACTTTTATTGCTTTTCTCAAATTTATAGTTGTTAGATACCTTGATAATTAAGAGCAAATTTTAAAAATATATAGATGTATAAACCTGACATAGAAAGTTATAGATAATATACTGTAATAAATACATACCATATAATCCTAATCTTGTACCAAAGACTAGCTGTAGTTTTCTCCAAGTAGTGTTATTTTATAACAATCCTAAATACCATTTTCTCAATTTTCTACACTGAGCAAATTCTAGATCAGACAAAAAAAGGCAGTATACTCAAATCTGAAAGGCACTGCTGTATCTGACAAGCTTTGAATACTGAGAATAGGGGACTGGCTCCTGCAGAAGCACTGTCTTAGTATTTGCCCATGTTCAGGTTTTTGCACAGGTTCAACTGCCAGCCATCTTTGAGAGACTATCGATGAGGGATTGCCTCCTATTCAGTACTCCACACAGAACGAGCAGCTCCACATTTGCTTTCTGTAGTTTCTTCCCTAGCTCTGACATTCCTGAACTCTGGCTTTTGATTTGTTGGATAGGCTTTTTACTTCCTGGCAAAGATGGTTTTTCTACTATCCCTGTAGATGCCATCTTTATGTCCATGTACTTTGGAATGGTTTCTTATATACCAATTTCAAAATAATTCCCAGGTTTTTTTTGCTATATTTCAAAAAAACACATTTCTTCCATGACTACACTCTTGTGTGTTGGAATTACTGAGCAGCCTTTGCAGATTTTTCTTCCCTTCTTTCTCCAGGAAGTGGTATCACATCATGTCCTGAATCCATTAGCCAGCTTTCTGTGCTCTAGCTGTGATTCCTTATATACACTGGGCACTGTCCCCTGACCCTCCTCCTGTACCAGCAGGCAGCCTTCCTGGGGGGTGGGGGGCGCTTTGGGAACCTTAAGTTCCCATGGTGGGAAACGGG